ACTGTATGTATGTACGTGCTCTCATATTTGTTTACTAACACCAAGCTTCACTTCAATAAACCTGCAGAAAATCAATCCACTCATATAGTAGTGGGCATCAACGCTCTAATCTGGAAATTAAGTGGAGCAAAAAAAAAGTAGTGTATAAAGATTTAGCTTAAACGATCGTTGAAAAATATTGTTGAAGTTCCACTTATATCCATTTTTAGTACTTGGCAGTATGGCCTTTATTTTTAGTCACATTTCGGTGATATAGTTCGTCACGTACAGTGGCGTAACTATAGGGTGGCAAGTCGGCAAAATTCCACGGGCCCCCAGCCCGAAGGGGCCCCTTCAGAGGAAATCTCAATTCCCAGCATTTATTATTACACATACACATTACCTAAGTAAAAAAAAATTTTGTCTTTTTTGTCAAAATGAGCTCATTGCTGTTCTGGTTCAAAAAGTAGAAAATGCTCTGGTAAATGAAATAGTCACCGCAGCGTTTTATTCCATTTTGCTTGATACTACTCGAGATATTTCTAAAACAGATCAATTGTGTGAACTTTACCGTTACTGTGTAATCGAGAAAGATGAAAATGGAACTCCAAAGGCGCTCGTAATTAAATAGTAATTTTTAGGATTTCATGAGGTTAAGGATCAAACTGCCTTAGCAATGTCCAAGCAGATAATAAAATCCATAAATGACAAAAGTATTTCTCTGAATAAGTGCCGTGGACAAAGGTACGATGGAGCTAATACCATGAAAGGTACTTATGGCGGAGTTCAAAAACGCATAAGAGATATAGAGCCAATGCAGTGTATGTTCATTGTGCTGCTCATAATTTAAACTTGATAGTAAATGATGCAGTAAAAGAGGTCATAGAAATCCAAACATTATTCGAAACTGTGCAACAAATTTATAATTTTTTTGGCCATAGTATTAGACGATGGAATATATTATCTAGTTTTATATCTGACAACAAAAAAGGAGAAACCGTTGTATCATTAAATTCAGTAACATTAAAAACAATGAATCCAACTAGATGGACAGGACGCTTTGATGAAATGTTTGCTTTAAAGGTTCGATTTGTTGATGTTCAAAAAGCGCGACAAAAACCATTTTATCAAATTCCAAATCAGATGAGAGAAATGAAGCTATCTTGCTAAAGAAGAAGGTAGAGAACTACAATTTAATTATGTTGCTGGTTTTCCATTGCAAAGTCTTACAAACCAGACACGCGGCTTCTAAAGCACTTCAATCTAAAGCCATCGATCATTCAAATGCTTCAAAGCGTTCACAAGTCTGTTTAGAAGAACTTGAAAAGTATCGACATGAATATGAAGATTTAAAAACGGAAGCAAATAGTATTGCAGTTAAATGGTCTATAAACCCTGAATTTCCTAAAACTCGTCAGAGAAAAGTGAAACGTCATTTTGATGAAATTTGTGAGGATGAACGTCTCCAAGATCCTGAAAGCTTGTTTAAAGTGAACGTATTCTATCGTGTATTAGACATCATCATTAATCAACTTAGATCGCGTTTCCTTGGAATGAATGAAATTGTTTACAATTTTAGCGTCTTGCAGCCTGCCACTTTGCAAAACTTGAATGATACTGATTTATTGGAGAAGGCTTTAGCATTTGTCCATTTATATAAAAAAGATATATCTATGTCGTTTTCCAAAGAAATTCTCAGTCTTCGATACTCTTTTAAACACGAAATAGAAAGGTCATCTTCTATAAGAGATCTTGCTGACTTATTAATAATAAAGAATCATTTTATATCTTCAAGCTTTCCTGAAGTGTGCACTGCATTTATGTTATTTCTCACCATTCCTGTAACTACGGCTAGTGCCGAGCCATCATTTTCAAAACTGAAATTGATAAAAACTTATTTAAGAAATTCTATGGGACAAGAAAGGTTAAGAAATTTGGCTATTCTATCCATCGAAAATTCTATGGCCCGAAATTTGAACTTTGATGATGTCATTAACATTTTTGCTGAACAGAAAGTCCGAAGAAAGGAATTTTAATAATTAAAATTGTGTACTTAAAATAAAATTGTGATTTCAGTTCAATATGGACTTTAAATTAGGTACCTTTAATTAAAAGTCAATAATTAGAATAATTAGAAATAATTATTGTTGTTGGTTCAGCTTCTTTATATATTGGGGAAGTGGGAGGACAGGGGGCCCATTCGATGAATTTGCGACGGGCCTCGAACGGTATAGTTACGCCACTGGCCATGCATCTTTACGGACCACAGCTTATTTTTTTTTTAACATTTGTTTATGTAAGGCCAAAAGATTTTCAGTAGAATTGAAGTCTGGAGATCGAGCTGGCTAGTTCATAACCTCAATTCCATTGAAGCGAAACCATTCCTGGGTCAGCCTACGGGTGTATTTTTGCTCATTGTCCTGGTGAAGCTTTCTGTAAATATATATCTGTAAATGTTATCACAACTTTTTGCAGTATATCGACATATGTGTGCCGATCCATGATGCCTTCAATTCAATGAATCGGATCAACGCTTCTGTAACAGAAATATCACTTTATTATTATACCTGGCCCACTATGTTTTAAAGCTGTACCATGGGTCATACTTTGTATTAAGGCAATGTGACAGGTACTCTCGATACTTCCCGCCATAATTATTAATATTCGACTCTTCAATCCAAAGTATGTGCCTAAAATTTTCCATTATCGAAGCAATATATTTTTTGATTTTCCTTTTAAAAAATAGGAACTTATTATTTTATTATTGATGTTTATTAAAAACTATTACCTTGACGTAAAATCTAATTTGCTGTATTTCATTGCTCGTTGATAATCAATCTTCAATCTATTCTACTGAATGACGGTACACTCTTAACATTTTCAAATTGAATGCAATAGGGCGGTTCCATATTATATAATATTATTTTGAAAATAATTGTTATCAATACCTTATGTAGTGTGAAAAATATTTCAAAATTTATTTAACGAATGCCGACTACTATTTCATTGCTCGCAGCTGTACATATTCATTATGAAATGTTGAAGCTTACTTATAAGGTATAAGCTAAAAAGATTTTAATCAAACTAACTAACTAGGAGTTTGTTTTCTAAGTCTGTTATGAATTAAGTAGATTAATTGGTTTCAGTCTCATTAAAAAACATAAAAAAAATATCAGTAACTTTGCAAATAGAATACGTATTTTCTTTTTTTCACCACTCAGTTGTGTTCCTTGGCAACAGAGGGTTTACTTTTGTCGTTAAAATTATTTAAAGTAAAATATATGCCCTAAAGCTATCATGTCAACATTTCTGAGTATTTAAATTTTATGTATATAAGGATTATACAAGTACGTCATTGTAGCGGTGTAAAATATACACATCCCAATTAGTTCAGAGACATGGTAGCGAATTGACTGTCCTCCAAATATAGAGCTGAACCATTCCATCAATCATTATTAGGAGAAAGAAAAACAAAACAAGTGTAAATTGTAGTGTATTTTTGTAATTGAACAAAAACATCAGTTGGGCAGTTTGCGAGAAATCGGCTTTGTAAACACTGTTTCGAGAAAAACGCGTTTAAAGTTTTGAGTGACTTTATAGCTGATCTAGATTGCGCAACTTTTCAAGATTGTATGACCAGAACTATTACTCGGTTCAACTTGAGAATTTAGGACAATATTCTAGAGATGTTAAAGAATTAATTAAGACAATAATTATTTTCTTTTGATATCGTGAAACTCATGACTCCAGAAAAAATTTTTAACAATATCTAAAAATATTATATTCGACAATTTACAAAGTATTATATTTCGTAACGGACATTGTAGATTAAGGTGCTTGTATAGAGATGTAGGTGTGCATGAAATTACTAGTGCATATTTAATGATCATTCCTAACATATACTGTTTTGCCAAGTTAACAAGCTCGATTATTTTGGTAGAATAGACACTTCAAATTATAAAAACAAAACTCCCGTTTCCTTTGCTACCACTGTCTTTTTTATTACACATTTTTGTATTATCTAAGAAAAAAGCTGCTCATTAAAATTAGTAGTGATTGTCGTTCAGGGTCGATGAGTTAAAAAATTCTTAGTTAGTTGCGATAAGTAAGAGTCTTTAAGCGATTATAATAAGATATAGTTCACAATGCTATAAGATACGACGATAAAGGGAAAAATGTAAAAAAAAGCAATATGGGAGGATAGACAGATTTTATGATATGTAAAAAGCGACCCAACCCAACTTTTATTTTTTTTTTTTTGAAAGGCACAAGATCCAGAAAGTGTGTCCGTCCACTACCAATCAAAATTTATCATTCTAGGTACACTACCAAAACTTTTAAACTCGATGGTCTGAGCATTATAGCATAGGCTTGCTTTACATTTAGATCTGACAGTGTATGAAAACTTTCTAAAAGATTTTATGTTATCATTTTCCAGTTGGAAAATGTCTCTAAAAAGGCCGTTTGAGCAGAATAACTTCCCAAAACATACGACCAGACCGTTTGCATCACAAAAGATCGATACATAATCTGAAGTCCCTATGAAGTGTTGTAAGGATCTAATAGACTCTACACAACATCAGTGTAAGAACGTATTAAAAAATAAAGTCTTTACAACGAAATATTAATTAATCAAAAACATTTCGTATTTAAAGTTTATTTATTTTCTTCAAAAAAATTAGCACTATTATTTTTGTAAACAGACTAGTTTTTAATTTAAATCAATCTTGTCAGTAAAATACAAATACATATTGGGAAAATATGTGTGTTTATACGTAGAAATAGCTAAACTACGTATAAACACACATATTTTCCCAATATGTATTTGTATTTTACTTTCTAAATTATTGAATTCATAATTTGTATTTTTAACTTGATTTTTTTACTTTTTTATTTTATACTCAGCACTACCATACAGTTGTGTTCATGGAAATAGTAGTACATTTGATCCTAACATTTAAAACGCTGTTCTGACATGTAAGAAGTTACAAGTTGAACAAGTGTGTAGTATTTTTGTAGAATGCACTTCTAAGAAACGGTCAACCAAGAAATCCCGTTAACTTCGCGTTACTCGTCTTGTTTGTGACGATATTTTGAACGTTGCTCAAAAATATTATGTTCATTGAAATAGTAGTGCTTGACGCGGATGCAAGCAAACAGTAAGTGTATTTAAGTAAATTCAACATTTTTTGATTAAATTTATTGACATTGCGGTATTACTTCTATTTTAGTGGGTAGAGCTAAACATTGCTCCGTAGAAAAACGCCAAATAATAATTAAGTTAAGAAATGAGGGAAAGACGTACAAGGAAAACGAAGAAATTATAGGATGCACTGCCACAATGATATATAACGCCATAAATTATGAACATAAAGCTGAAAATCATGGTGGAAAAAGGAAGACTACAGCCTTAGAGGACAAACGTATTATTCGCCACTCTAAAGCCAAGCCCACAGCGTCCGCAAAAGTAATAAAAATTAATTAAATTTGTCAATCAGTGCTCTGACAGTTCGCAGACGTTTAATAGAAAACAATTTAAAAGCAAGGAAAAACATGTCGCTGCAAGAATTCAATTTGCAAATGAGCAGTTGAATTGGCCGCCCGCAAAATGGCACAACGTGTTATGGACCGATGAAAGCAAAATAGTCTTGGGACAGGATCCAGAAAATATGTCCATCGCCCACCAAACACGGAATACCACCCCAGGTACACTACTAAAATGGTTAAGCATGGTGGCCTTAGCATTATGGTGTGGGCGTGCTTCTCGTATAGTGGTGTTGGTCCTATCCATTTGATTGGTGGCATCATGGACCGAGTAGTATACGTAAATATACTAAGAGACGTTATGTTACCATTTGCTAGCTGGGAAATGCCGATAAAATGGACTTTTTAACAGGACAACGACTCAAAACATACTTCCAAACTAGCTAAGGAGTGGTTTGCAGCTGAAAAGATCGACGTAATGACCTGGCCAGCTCAGTCCCCGGACCTGAACCCGATTGAAAACTTATGGGGAGATGTCAAAAGAGTTGTAGCAACAGCAAAGCCAACAAGTAGAGTACACCTTTGGCAAGTGGTTAAACAGGCATGGACACAAATCCCTATGAAGCGTTGTAAGGATCTTGTTGATTCTACTCCACGTCGATGTGCGGCGGTATTAAATAATAAGGGATTTACTACTAAATACTAGAGTATAGACAATATGCAGCACAGGAAATATTAACTTCAAAAGCTCTTTTCAAATTTTTTTACGTAATTGAAGTAAACACTACTATTTTAATGAACACACACATTTTTAGGTATTTTTTTTAAATATGCTTTCGTGCGTAAAAACGAAATTTAAAAAAAAAATGCGACTGAATAATCTTAGCACTAATAATAAATACTTTCCTTACAACTTTTTATATGAATTTGTATCTTTTATTTGAGTTTAATGCTTCGAAAGTTAGGACCCACAGACACTACTATTTTCAGCTGTATGTCTAATTTTCCTCTTATTAACTTTTACTACTCTCATGAGGGATAAAAAATTTAAAAATGGTCATATTGATATCTGGATATCATATCATATCAAAAAAAAAAAAAAAAAAAATATTGAAAACCAACAACAAAGTTATCGAGTTGAAGTCAGTTTTATTAATGTGAATGATTCAAATTACAAATGCAAACACTTATTATTATTATTTTTTTTTAACTTAGAGCTTAAAATAATTTATAGAAAACAAAAAATAAAAGCTTACTACAACGGTTACTATTATCCACTAGGAAAGTATCGTAACACTATTTCGTTTGGGTCAGAAGAGATGTTTCGCGTCTGATATACATAGTTTGGCAGCAAGGCAGATACTCTAAAAACGCTTTTTACCAGGCTTACAAGCTTATATCACACATATGTACAAATGTATGCATTCAAATAAAATAGCAAATGATGGTAAAACAAAAATATTTTTACGCCACATTCATAATCGGAAAAAATACCCTTATAAAGGATGAAAAAATTAAAATGTAAAAAAATTAGGTTTATTTTTACGTTATGGTAATAGCTTTGGTGAAATAGCGAAATTTTAAATTAAATTGTACCTATGGAACCATCTGAAATTGTACATTAGTAAATCATTTGGATTCTCAGATATCTATCAATGTTCTTTGGAACAAAAACTGCCACTGCTTATATGTTTGGTTTTAATGACGTGCTAGGACCATGTATAAGGGTTACAAGGGGTTAATTATTTACTCGATAATTAACGCCAGCCAACGTTAAAATAACGATTGCCCACTGCATATTAATAATCCATGAATATTAAATTTTTTTTATTTTATTAAGTAAATAACCTTTCTTGTTGAGTTTGAATTGATTTACTAACATGTATATTTAATTTGAAAGGTTTAGAAATTAACTTGTATACAATTCTAAACTTACAGAAAAAAAACGTCGTCTTTATGACCAATATGGTAAAGAGGGGCTGTTGGGTGATCGGGGACATCATCGATCTTCACGGCACCATCATACGCATGACTACGATGACTTCGACATAATGGGTGGTTTCCCATTTGTATTTCGGCCACCAGAGGAAGTATTCCGCGAATTTTTCGGTGTAAATTCACCGTTCGCTGATTTATTTAGAGGTGAAAACCGTGGATGTACTGTTTTTATTTTAATTTTACATTTGCTTTCAATTTGGATATATGTATATATAGATGTACATAGTTACCCTCAGTCGAACAGACACAATAACGGGCTTAGCAGCAGTGGACGTCAACATGTCGGCACTAAATTGGCCTCACCATTTGGAGCGCCAATGCTGAACTACTCTATGATGGATTTTATGATGCCGTCCAATGGATTTACTTCATTCAGCTCATTCAATTCAGTTCCAAATGGACGGGGTGGTGCGGCAAATGGCGCCGTCAAACGCACATCAACTTCAACAACATTCGTTAACGGCAAAAAATTAATGACTAAACGGTATGTATTTTGTTCATTTATATTTGAAAATTTGTATTAATTGTATATATTTTGAATCCACAGAGTCTATGAAAATGGAAAGGAGACTGTATTTTCATACGAAAACGATGTCCTGAAATCAAAGACTGTGAATGGAGTTACACAGAAACTCTCTTCAATTACAAATTAAGTCATAAACTTAACAGAAAGAATAAAAGAGGAAAATCAATCAAAATTATGCCACATGTAACTCTCCTCCCTAAGCCTAGGATTTTTCCACTACCATAGATCAGTTAATTTCGTTATTATTTTTTTACGAATATCTGTAATGATAATGTATGTATACATATAAATTAATTAGTAATTAATGAAGAGAATGAATTTGATGATTCTCCTCTATTTTACGTTTATTTCTATTATTCATAAGAGTCAGTATAAATGAGAGGTATAATTTTAAAGAGATATGAATTGATTAAAAGTAAGAATTGAGGACATTTTCATTCATATTTGATAGAAAGGATTAAATCTCTAAAAATTATGGAATGCCAGCTAAAATATTTTTTTTTTACCACATACTCGAGAATGATTCACCCTGTAACTAAATTTCAAATATATATATATACATTTGATTATAAATTAAATAATTAGAAGATCTGAAGTGAATAAAAACCCAAAACCATCAATTAAGTGGATTATTAAAATATAGCAATGTAGAGAAATTTAATTATTTTAACAGAAAAGTACTTTGTTCATTTATTTGTCATTTAATTATGAGTTATATTTTTTTATATAAATGACAAATGAAATGTGATAAATGCCCACATTTCGTAAATAATCAAATATATTGACATTAGGCTGAAAGAAGTCGGATGAATAATGTTTATTAACAAATTTATTTATTAATTATAAAGTGTATTTTTTATCTTTTACCTGAATATATAAAATCAACAAAATTAGTATACTACGAATTATTAGAAAAGACCAACAGGCATGTTAAGTTATATAACTAATCCGGAAAAGGGCGCCGCACTCAAACATACATGCCACCAAATAAATGTTGCTCTTGAATTATATGATTTATATGATGCCAGATATTAATAATTTTCTATTTTGTAGTGTATTTTTTATTCTTTGTATACATGGGCAAATTATAAAAATCGAATTAAGAAGTATGGAAGTCATATAGCAAAAATTGTGAATGTAATAATTTTGAATGTGAAAAGGGAAATAGTTTCATAATATCTAGAAGGTAGTGAATTATATATCTAACAAGTTAATAAAAGTAAAGAGATTTGCTTCAGCTCCAGATTTTTAAGTATAATATATATGATTTAAATATCAAAGAAGGTTATACAATTTAGAAATAAACACGAGAATATGAAAACATTTGCATTATATTTCTTTTGGAAATCCATGAAAATTTAATTTTTTTCAGTATATGATATTCAGGGGTGTTGTGGAATCTGGTAGTTGTCGGAATAAGAATTCAAACCGATCAAAAAAAGCAGTAGGTGTCATGAATTCAGATATTATTGGCTTGATATTCGAAACAGAATTTGTTGTTGTCGTTGTAACGGCAGAATTCTGCCGAGTTGACAGTCTTTGATCGGATAAAAATCCGGGTCCGTTCTGGTTTTCGTAGACCCGTCTGTCCTCGGAACGGAAACAGAATTTGTATCGGTTTTGGGTGTCCCAGAAACCAATTTTATCGGTTTTGCTGTCAAACAAATCAAGAAGATAGTCGCACACAGATTTGAAATGTAAGTTAAGAAATCAAGTTATTTTATTGTAAAGAATTAATTTAATAATTTTTTTAAATAATTTTTAACACATTGAAGTCGGCTCTC